ATTAGGGGCATGAGACCCGAGAGCATATTTGCACATGTAGGCATACACATATGTAGGGAGGGAGAGAGGGGGAGTTTGTGTTTGTGAGAGTGAGAGAGAGAGAGAGATCTTTTTTGGGTCGGTCCGCCTGCTGTGCTGCATAGCGTACTGTTGGGACAGCCCAGTTGTAAGCACTACATAGTAAGCACGTAATTTTAACATATATGCGGTAGTGGCGTCTCTGGTGAGAGGTTGCTGCAAATGCCACTTCCATGGTGTCGCAGCTCTGGCAGTTCGCACAGGCAGCCTCATGCTGGCATCAGGGCCTGCAGTTTACGATGTTCTCTTTTGCGGGGCTGCAGAGCTTTGGGGTTTTAGTTCGTGATGAGCCAGAGCTTTAGGGGTCCGAATCGGCTCTCATGGGTTCAATGGCATGGCCCCAAAGCGTGACAAGCCCTGACAGAACCCCTAGACACCTTCTACAACACGTATTTCTATCGGCCATTCCAGACTTCAGTCAGAATTTATTGCTGTTTTTCGAAAGGTGTTGATGTCTTTCTATGAGGGGTTCTTTGCATAACTCATATTGCTTCAAACCTTTGTATTGCATATGCTTGGGCAGCATGTTCCTGGAATGAAATATGCTTGTAAACACACATGTACAATTACCTGCTGCGTATCTTGCCGTCAGAGCAGCCGTGAATTGCTCAGAAAGCTACACCTGAATTGCTGAGATCCTTGTTTGTCGTACGACTTGAAGGTTGATTGCTCTAGCTACGAGTTTCCATCGTTCACGCGACGCCCTGCCTTTGCTTCTACCTGGACCCCCAGAGTACGTAGAATAATAGCCAATTTATAGGTTTTGGGTCTTTATTTGACCAACTTTTGGGGGTTATAGGTAGCCATGAAGCACCAACAACAAAGCCTGTCAGGCTATAGGCCAATTCTTGCAGTGTTGTTTCCAGTTTCTGTCGCAAGAACTTGGTCGTCGAACAGCGAGGAATCCGGCAACTAAAGAAAAGACACTTCGGGTCGCAGCACAACTGCTTCGAAGACAGCTGCCCTTACGCTGACTACTGCACCCCTTCGAAAACCCACGTACCCAGACCCCACGTCTCCATCCTAGAGGAAGTTAAAATCCGTTTAGCTTACCCTACCTGGACCCTATTAGACCCTCAGGACTTAGACAGGGACTTCAAAAGGAGCCCTGCTTCGCCCTAGTTTTCCTTAAACCTACCCGAAGCGCTGCAAGCCCTCCCAACCCTAACCATAAAGGCCTGCAAACCTTCATGTAGACCGTTTGCGAACAATCAGAGTGTAATGCACAATATGTTGCTCTTCAAGGAAGGGTATATGATATACCGTCATACATATAGTATAATAGGAGAATAATAGAATAGAGTGCAATAAAATAGAGTATGAGAGACATAAAAGATTTCAGGATGGAAGGCAAGCGTTTATATCCTAAACTCTAAACCCTAAAGCCCTAAACCCTAAAACCCTAAAAACTTAAAGCCCTAAACCCTAAAACCCTAAAGCCTTAATACCCTAAAACCCTAAAACCCTAAACCAGCCAGATCTCGGGTAGTCCATCCAGGCCGGCGTGATGCGCCCGATGCCCTGCGCCGGCTTGCTATCAGGTGAGCTAACAGGTTTGGGGTTTAGGGTTTGTGGAAGGTGTGTAGGGTTTGGGTGCGGGGTGTTGGCGGGTTTCGAGCGGGTCTTGCGCTGCTTTTGGTTTAAGTTGCTCTGCACTGCCCCCTGCCCCCTTGCTCTGCCTTGACCTGCCTGGAGAAGTTTTCCGCTCTCTGGGCCCTTCCTATAAGTAGAACGAGCTCCATTCCAGCGGGGTGGAGAAGCTTTCAGCTTTCTAGGCTTTTCATACATGAACAAGCTCTCTGGCCTGGAGACAGAAGCTTTCACAGATTTGAAGACCCCCCTGCTCCCGCAAGCGGTTCTTGTTCATTTTTTGGCCACGAGATAAAGGTCTTCCTGCTCCATCGGGTTTTTGATGCATCAAAAAACCCGATGTAACCGTTTGAAAACCTCCTGAAGCGCTTGCCAGATGGTTCTTCTTCGATTCATTAACTGCCACGCTTTCCCAACGGCTTTGAAAAGCTTTCAGCTTTCTGGGCTTGTCATATAAAAGGTAGAACATTGCCTTTCCAATTTACTAAAACCACATGTTCATCTATGCGACCAAACACGCATGGCTCGGCCACCCAAACCGCTCAACACACACCTTCTTTTATCGGTTTATCGTTTGCTTGAGCATTTAGGGTTTTGGGCTTGGGGCTTGGGGCTTGTAAGGTTTAGGGTTTGGGGCTTAGTTGGTCGAAAATAAGACGAGCTCGGAGCTAGAGCTTCGGGCTTGTGTCTAAGGGTGTAGAGCTAACTGTCAGAGGCCAACATAGGCAGGGATATGCGTTTCCTCCACCAACAGAAACGGTCGGGCTCTTCGCAAGTCTCTGCACACGGACTGACGGTCGTGCGCAGGTCCGGCTTGAAGGCATACTATAAGGGGGTCTAAATAACTACCTATAATTACTAGTTTAGGGGCTCCTTATTATAATAATGATCGTATAATATACACCAAAATTTCCAAAATCCTCTTCTAATTATGAAGGCCCCTATACATTATGGGGTGTTGAGGCCATCTCGCAACGAGTCCGACGCGCGTTGACAGAGACACCATCAGCTAATGTGGTCGTTGGCACCCCTGCTTAAAATTGAGGCACGGGGGTATATTTCCTGGGGAGGGCCCACCCCACGAATATGATTCCCCCGCGACCGGACGATGGCGCAGATGGGAGGCCTCTCCTTTTTGGTCGCACAGGTCCACAAACCCTTTCGAAGACAGACACACACACAAACACACACACACACACACACGCACACCCCGCAGCTTCATGCTGGAAACATGGTGTTTTGCACTTGGGCCACACGTCAAAAACCCCCCCATCCTCCCGGCAATCTTGCAACGGATGTCCCAAATAGAATGCTACACAACCCTCGACCCCCTCCCAAACCCTTTCCCCAAAGCAGGCGCGGCAGGTATGCCTATCCCCGGTACGCCGTTCTCTGCCTAAGTGGCCCTCAATACTGTTGAGGAGTTAGAGTGAGGTGCCGGACCCTTCGTCGCGGAGTATGGATTATAGGGTTGCCCTGAGGGTCCAAAATAGCAAAAAGGTCGGTATTTGGGTTTAGGATAGTAGTCCTTGCAGGCTTCTTTGTTTTTTTTTTTTTTTTT